TGCATCAATCAATCAGACATTCAATCAGTGCATCAATCAATCAGACATTCAATCAATGCATGTTTATGTAATAAAATCGACCAATTATTTGAATTCAGGCAAAGGCAACAACAAAGACAAAAGCAAGGTAAGAGATTGGTGTCTATTGGGTTGCATTATTGTATAAAACATTGTACTATGGACATCTATTTGAAGTATGCCTAATTACTTACTAGATATTATATCTTTTGTAATTAAACTTAGGTTATTTGCTGAGAAAACCAACAAGAATGAACGCAAAAACAAAGCAGAATTGATCATGTGTAGAACTGTAAGATGCTACTTTATTGAGTTAGAATATTGTCATCATTCAGTGCAGTAATGTTTGTGTTTCTAGGGTGATGAACCAAGGGAGTTTTGGCAGTTACTGGGTGGACGTCCAGCWGAAGGCCGTATAATGGTAAATACAATATATGGTTGCTATTGAGATTTGTACAAAAATGCATATACTTACACCCAAGTCTTGTAATTGATAGGTTAAAAAAGACTATAAAGAAGATCCTAAGCCTCCAATTCTTTACAAAATGGCTCTTGGTTTGGGATACTTAGAGYTACCACAAGGTGATTAACCAAGCAGACAGACAATCATACAAAACACTTGACTAACAACAAGAAAAATAATAAGAAATGGACAAATAGAAAGCAAAATATACCTGACAACTGACTTAGAGGACAGCTAATGATGAATAGACAGACAATGAGACAGCATTCAAGCACAGACAAATTGCATGGCAAATGATAGACAGATGAACAAATTCATGTAACAAAACAGTCTAAACAAACCTTGAATCAATTCTAAAAATTGTCAAATTGCACTTTGCATTTTAATAATCATTTTAATATTACCTTGCAGTTGATGTTAATGGTCATAAAATGGAGCAAAAGATCTTAGACACAAAGAATGTCTACATATTGGATTGTGCATCAGAAATATTTGTTTGGTAGGCACATGGGAATTTCTAAGATTAAATGGAAATTGAAATAAGAATAAAATGAGAATTAAAATGAAATTGTCAGTTTGAATTATTTTTTAGATACATAAACTCAAGCATGCTTTYTCTATAGGGTTGGTCGCAAATCAGCTCGGCTTATTCGTGCAGCRGCAWTGAAGCTTGCTTTAGAGCTCAACTCTATGATTSACAGGCCATCGTATGCCATTGTCACAAGAGTCCTGCAAGGGTAAGTCATGTCATGGTTGATGTTGTCATGTCTTTTTAAATATGATATGCCATTAAATTATGGTCTGTCAAAATATACTGTTTTTGAGGGTCTCTTATTTATCAGTTTTTTTTTCTGTCATGTGTTACCATCATTGTAATGTATTGCATTCTCATTTGATATTTACTTTTTATCATAGTTTTATTATTCAACAAGTGACAGTTATTCTGATGGAAATTGCATGATTACCTGATAGTGAAAGTTGTTATCAGGAGTCTTTTTTTTCTGCAGTGCTGAGTCTCAACTCTTCAAATCAAAATTTATTGGTTGGGATGACATCCTTGCTATTGATTATACACGTTCAGCTGAGATGGTGTCCCAGCTTTCCAAGAAACTAGGCACAAAAGTAAGATACCTGCAGCTGTAATAACTCACAAAATCAGGCAGTGAGGAGGTGTTTCTACTTTCACCTATTTCAKTATTTGCAGCACAAACCTGAATATTKGAGTCTCATACTTCCYCTTTCAAAGWGATCTTGAGTGCTGTTTTAAGGCCCGTTTACACGCTTGGATTTTTKCAGAACGATTCTTGTGRTGATCGTTGCTCGATCRTAGCCTGAGGAARCAGCAGGCCTGGGAAATATCCCTATACTACAAATTTGAATTTCTCCCATTTGATGCCGTTTGTGTATACCCATGCAAAAAGTCTGATTCATAGCACCATGTTATCCAACCATCTGTCTAACGATTGAATACATTTTATACATTAGAATATAACCAGGAAAGATGCTCAAGAAAAACTAAAGGAGGTTGCAAAGGTAAAAGGTTGTCTGCAATAGGAACACATTATTTTTCAACTCTTTTGCTCCTACATCATACCTGCCTGTAAAAAGTGTTTTACATGTATTTGGATTGGATTGGTTGGATTGGTTGGATACTCAGGCAGTCCAATTACAACAATTTATTAGATCGTTACAATACAATGAATAACATAAGGCTGATCAAAGACCTAAATTATTTGATATGGCAAGTCGATTA